AACTACTGACCTTGTGGTTCACAGCCCGATTCATAACCACTACGCTACCAGAGCTCCTTGGACTGTGCTTTTGCCTTCCAGGGGACCTTACCTATTTTACCTCAGTAGCTTTCTCAGTGTCTAGAGTGATTAGGACTCAGCACGTGGTTGGGGCTCAGTGGTGGTAAGAGCTCAGCAGTGGTTGGGACTCAGCAGTAGTTGGAGCTCAGCATATGGTTGGGGCTTAGCAGTGGTAAGGGCTCAGCACGTGGTTGGGTTCAGCAGTGGTAAAAGCTCAGCAGTGGTTGGGGCTCAGCATTGGTAAGAGCTTAGCAGTGGTAAGAGCGTAGCACCTGGTAGGGGCTCAGCGTGTGGTTGGGGCTCAGCTTAGTGGAAGGAATGAAGCTTGGCTCTGGAAGTCTCTTTTCAGGTGGAGCTGGTACAAGTCTCAGGATGGCTTGGATAAGCCCTGATTCTGGAAAACCACACACATACCTGCCAAACCTTGGGAAGCAGCATCCGTTTACCCCCACTCGCTCACCTGTGGCCCATCTCAAAGCCTTCATCTCCTCCTCCTCCAGCCTGCTGGGACACCCGGAAGGGCAGCCTAGTGGCCGAGCTGTCCACCATAGAGTTCAGCCACCGCGACCCTGTGTACGGCACCATCTGGCTGCAGTCCAAAACGGGCACTGAGTGCTTCTCAGCCTCCACAGATGGCCAGGTACCACCTGGCCAGGTGCTGTGGGGGAGGGGAGTGGATCACCTGGGGAGTGCTTTCTTGTACATTTTGCTTGTAACACGGAGCAGCAGGTAGATAAAAGCCCACACACAGAGCCCCAAAGATCCAGACGGCAAACAGGGACTCGTCTCCTTCCCACCTGTACCCCTAGCCTCCCACCTCCCTCCTGGAAGCCACCCCTGGTGTCATTTCCGACTTTCCCAAGTGTCTGTGGATCCCAGCTAGCACAACATGGCCTCACCGCGCTGTTGGGACACCTTAGCTCTGCTCTGCCCTTGCTGTTTGGGAGCTAATTTCCTGTTTCATAAAGGGCAGGCTAAGGTCTGCGCTGTGTGGCTGGGTCATCCTTTAGGTCACCTCGAATCTTTGCCCATTACAATCAATGTGGTGGTGCTGGATGGCTGGGTACCGTCGAGTCAGTTCCCACTCGCAGCGACCCTGTATAGCGTTGCCAAGGCTGTCAATCTTTACGGGATTTAGTTCATCTTTCTCCCATCTTTCTCCCAAAGAGCAGCTGATAGAGTCAAACTGTTGACTGTAAAGTGAGCAGCTCAACTCGTAACCACGATGCTACCAGACTACGTCAGGACGCAGATGACTGCACATGCGTGTAGGCTGACCTAGAGCACATAGTCCTGGCGGAGGGATTTTGGGGTCTAAGGATGGAATGGGTTTTTTTTTTTTTTAATGTTGATAGATTCAATGATAAAATAAGTTACAACTTCCTATGAGGTAAATTGGAGTCCTGCTGTGGCGTTGTAGGGTAAGCACTGGACCCCAAGGTCTGTTTGAACCGCAGGGACAGCGGTTCAAACTCACCAGCCACTCCTCGGAAACTCTATACAGGGTTGCTGTGAGTCGGCACTTAAACAACATCAGCAACATGGGACAAAATGAAGCTCAAGAAAAACTGGGAAATGTATTTTATAACACAAATGTCCGAAAGATAATTTCCTTAATATACCAAAATAGCTATTATATATCAATAAGAAAATGATGACTAGCCCAGTAGGAAAATGTGCCAAGTATATAAACACCAGTTCAAATGAAAACACAAACAAATAATGGAAATACATATTTCTTAAAATCTCTCAATTATCACTCATCATTAAAAGAGCAATAAATTAGGGCACGATTTAAACATTAGAGGTACTGCTGCTAATGGAAAGGGTGGTGAGTTTGCAACAGCTTTCCCATTAATCCGCTCCTGTAAAGATTCCTCCGAGTCTATTCTTCTTCATAGTGACCCTAGAGACTTTTCTGATGGTATAAATCTTTATGGGAGCAAAAAGCCTCATCTTTCTCCTGTGGAGAGGCTGGTGGCCTCAAACCACTGATCTTGTGGTTTGAAGTCCAGTGTTTATCTTATGGAGCCTCAACGTTCCCTATATTACTCTACACTGGTGGTGATGGTGGTGATGAGTGCCGTGGAGTCGGTTCTGCCTCATAGCGACCCTGTATAGGGTTTCCGAGGCAGTAAAATTTTACGGGAGTAAAAAGCCTCATCTTTCTCCCATGGAGGGGCTGGTGGGTTTGAATTACTGACTTTGTGTTTATCCTACAATGCCACCAGGATTCCTTCCTGTAAAATATGGTTGTTATTGTTAAGGGCCGAGTCAGTTCTGACTCATAGCGACCCTGTATAAGGTTTCCAAGAAGCAGCTAGTGGGTTTGAATCACCAATCTTTCAGTTAGTAGTCTGGTGCATATCCTACAGCGCCATACCTGAACAGTCTAGAAAATCCTATGGTGCAATTCTGCTTTGTCACAAGGATCCACTTTGAGTTCAAAATCAACTCAGTGATACCTAACAACAACGTTCCTTTACGAATCCTCACAGTATTAAAATACCGTGAGTGTGTAATATTGCTGGGTATTGTCAAGAGCTCTGGTGTGGCCCTGTAGGATCAGTACTGGACTGCTAACCACAAGGTCGGCAGTTCAAATCTACCAGCTGCTCTTTGAAACCCTATCCTCACTATGAGTCAAAACCAACATACAACAAGTTATTTTAAAAGGAACTCTGGTTACACAGTGGTTAAGCACTTGACTACTAACTGAAAGGCAGCTCGAACCTCTCTCTCTGAGGGAGAAATACCGGCTATGAGCCAGCCTTGACATAGCAACAAAGAATTTCTGTTTTGCCATATCGTGGGGAAGCCCTAGTGTAGCATTGTAGGATAACAGTTCCAACCTACCAGCTGCTCTCAGAAACCCTATACAGAGTTGCTATGAGTTGGAACTGACTCGACAGCACATAACAGCATCAATGCCAGGGGGACCTTTTAAGAATACAGATTCCTGGGCCTGGTAGTTGTCACTGGTAGGTCAACTGGAGGAGCTCTGGTAGCGTAGTGGTTACGAGTCAGGCTGCTAACCTCAAGGTCAGCAGTTCAAAACTACCTACTATTCCGTGGGAGAAAGATGAGGCTTTCTGCTCCCGTGAAGATTTGCAGCCTCAGAAACCCTATGCAGGGTCACTATGAGTTGGAACCGACTCCACGGCACACCACCACCACCAGGTCAACAGGACTCTGTGAAGCTCACCAGTGACTGGTGGTCGGCCCGGGTTTGGGAAGTGTGGGCTAGAGCCAGGATTCTCAGTGTGTTTGTTCCTGAGTGGGGCCGGAAGCTTCCACCGGTGCTTTTAATGTCTGGTGGGGAGTCCTAGTGACAACAGACAGAGGGGAGGGAAAGGTAAAATCTGGGGTGGGACATCCCTGTCTCAGCGTCACACTTCTCTGGTCAGGTCATGTGGTGGGACATCCGGAAGCTGAGTGAGCCCACAGAGTTGTTGATCATGGACATCAGCAAAAAGGAAATGCTGGAGAACTCCCTTGGCGCCATCTCCCTGGAGTTCGAGTCCACACTGGTGAGTCTCCTTCTCCTCCCTCCCCTGACCACCATTGTTGCTAGGGCAGCAGGCGCTGAGGGCTCCTGTTGTCACTCAGACCCGTGTGGCCTTTTCAACAATTTTGCAGCAGGGGGCAGCAGAGCTCCTTAGGGAAGGAAGCCTTTTCTCCTTCACAGGAAGTCATGGTTGGGCAGTTTTTCCGTTCTGGCCACACTGGTTGCCATTCAGTTGATGCTGATTCAGGAGAGCCTGCTGTGTGTCAGAGCACAACTGTGCACCAGAAGGCTTCCAAGAGCTGATTTCTTGGAAGTAGACTGCCAAGCCTATTGAGGTGCCTTGGGTGAACTCAACCTCCAACCTTTCAATGAATACCACCCAGGGATTCCTCCGGCCAGGGCCAGATTCCAGAAAACTTCCCTTTTTATGAATAGAACTCTGCCCAAGACCAACACTGGGAGCCTCTCTCTGACCCAGACCCTGCCCCTACCTGGCATGGAGCCCTGGGCTGGCCACTTGGCTTCCTCTTGACAAGGAAGGGTATTGGGAGAAGGAAGTGATATCAGCAGACGTTTCTGCATCATTGCAACATTTAGTATATCTGAGAAGGGTTTTAAATCTCAAAGCCGAGCAGTAATGCTAATGTATCAGAAGAGGGAATCTTCTAGAAGCATCAAATGAAGGCCCCCCACCTCCAAAACAGGAAGACAAGTTTTCCAGATGGCTCTTAGCTTGGACTGGTTCCTAGTCATGTCTCACTGAAATCAGGCCTGGCTTCCCTCTGGAGATGTCATTTGTTTGTATTGTGGTCACATGACATCATTCTCTGCCTCTGGGAAGTGGGAGGTGCTCTGGCCTCTTCCCTGCCCTGGGAGTCCTCATGCGAGGTTGGGACTGACTGCTGATGGGAAGAGGGGGAAGACTGCTGAACCCACCTCCAACCATGGGGTAAGAGGAGACTGGGGTGGGATGGACATACATGCACAGTGGATGCAAACATTTCTGAGCCAAATGTTAGATGAGCCCCCACCTCTTCCATGCCTGCCACTTACTGAGTGTACACTGTGTGCTGGATACTTCTAACACCCATGTGATGCATTTCTGCACTGTCCCATGACCATCTTGTGAGGTAATGTTGTTATCACTAGACAGATAAACAAAATCAGTCTTAGTGAGGCTAAGTAGCATGTGGTAGTACATGGGACTCCAGAGGCCCTTTGGTGGCCCTGTTCCTGTCCAGAGTGAGTCTTAAAACCCATTGTTGTAGAGTTGATTCCAACATATATGTTTTAGGGTAAAGTAGAACTAACTATCCCATAGGATTTCCACGGCTGTAAATTTTTACCGAAGCAGACGGCCTTATCTCTCTCCTGAGGAGCAGCTGATGGGTTTAAGTAAAGTTGACTCTGACTCATAGCAACCCCTACAGGACAAAGTAGAAATGTCCCATCAGGTATCCAAGGCTGTTAGCATCACAGAAGCAGACAGCCACATCTTTCTCCCATGGAATGCAGCTCTTGGGTCCAAACCACTGCCCTTTGGTTAGCAGCTGAACACTTACCTATTGTCCCATCAGGGGTCCTTAGAGTAGGCGTTTTAAAAAATTATTATTATTGTGAATTCAGTGATAGTTCTACATGGGAGAACATCAGTTTTATACTCATCATTTCATTGTAATCATTACAATCTCCTCTGTGCATCATCATTCAACAGTATTTGCTTCTATTCCCTCCGGTTTTGTTTTGTTTTGTGATGTACACAAAAGCACTCAGGAATCTATAATAATTTAAACACCCAAAGGGCACATTCTGTAAGCCTGCCTCCTGACTGCCAGCACACAACATTTCTCTTTCCATGAATCTAGAGTCCTCAGCTGCTCTATCTCTCCATGTCCTCGTCTCTGCCTCCATCTCTGGTGTCACTGCTTCTCTGGATAGGGTCACATGTTCCGCTCATCCTCTTCTCCCTTGATGGTCCTAGGGTCCTCTGTTCCTGGGTTATAAGATTAATTGCACCCCCCTTCCTATTACAAAATTTCTGCCTTTACAGTTGTGACAGGCACAATTAGTCATGATAACAGTTATTCACTACTGAATCATACAAATCTTATCCCTATCTCCTTTCACCAGACCCATCTAGACAAGATGAAAATTATTCAGTGGTGATTATAAATTCTCCAGCACACTCTGAAACTAAACCTTCACATGAAAACTAAGCCAGTCACTTCGTGCCTTAATAGTCCCCCGTCCCATTTTTGGTAGCCAATGTCTACCCTCTCCTATCAACCCTGTATACAGAGGGGATAAAATTGATCCTTGATGTGAAGACTCCTTTGCTAATGGAGAAAAGATTGAAGTTGTCAAAAACTTCATTTTTCTTGGATCAACCATTAACACTAATGGAAGCAGCAACCAAGAAATCAACAACATATTTCATTAGGCAAATCTGCTTCAAGAGACCTTTTTAAAGTGTTGAAGAGCAAAGATGCCAGCTTGAGGACTAAGGTGCGCCTGACCCAAGCCATGGTATTTTCAATAATCTCATGTGCCTGCGAAAGTTGGACAGTGAATAAGGAAGACCATCGACTAATTAATGTATTTGAGTTATGGTGTTGGAAGAGAATATTGAAAGTACCATGGACTGCCAAAAGAACCAACAGATCTGAGTGCTCCTTGGAGGCCAGGATGGCCAGACTTCGTGTCTTATACTTGGGACTATTGTCAGGAGGGACCAATCACTGAAGAGGGATATCATGTTTGGTAATGTGGAGGTAAGGAGGTGGAGGTAAGGAGGTGGAGGTAAGGAGGTGGAGGTAAGGAGGAAGACCCCCAGTGAGGTGGGTTGGCAAAGTGGCAGCATCAGTAGGTTCAAGCATGGCAACAATTGTGAGGTTAGCACCGGACCAGGCAGTGTTTCGCTCTGTTGTGCATAGGGTCTCTGTGAATACGAACCGACTCGATGGCACCTAACAACAACAACAACATCCATAAGTATAGGTCAAGTTCATCAAATTATAGTAATTTACACTTAATGAACAACTTTTTGTGTGTGAATTGAATGAAGGTTTATACAGAGAAGATCATTAGTTTTGCATTCAACAAGTCATTTACTTTGCTTCATTATAGTGATTGCAGTCCCCTCCATGTACCATCAATTAACAGTATTGACCTGTATTCACTTAAAATCTTGCATTCCTCCTTGTGTTTCCTACTACATCTTTCCTCTGACGATGCCCCATTACCCATGTTAACATAAGAATACCCTCTAGTCCATGAATCCACCACTCACCTGTCACTTTGTCTTACTGTGGTGCTTACATGTTGCTGTGATTCTAGAAACTATGCCACCAACATTTTATATAGCAGCAGGGTAACCCGCGGTGGAGAGGTTTCTTTCAATTGAGCTTTCAAACTAAGACAGATTAGGAAGATAGAGAGATGGATTCCTTCCAAATATTTAGTCATTGAAAACCTTATGAATAGCAGTCAGCACCAGA